GAGGAAGGACCCGCCAGCTGATGATCCGCAGGAGGAGGAGGAGGGGAAGGAGGACAAGGACGATGAGCAAGCTACCAAGCGCCCGAAGAAAGGAGTTTGCCTTGTGAGCCCGGAGCAGAAGAAGCACTTGAAGTCGTCACTGGGAAATTTGCATTATATAAATCTTGTGCATGTGCGTGCTTGTATGTTTGTGATGTTGCTTGGTTGTATTGCGGATTGCAACAACTTGTATTGCCATGCAGGCTTATCCGCCATGGATCCAAATACCGTGTCGAAGTGTATTGGACATGCCAGCAGCCCAAAGTCGGAGTACGATGCAAAGCGACAGGGAAGTCCATGTTTTGCTACACGCACCCATCGTTTACGATTCTGATCGAGCTGTGCAACGACATGGTCGCTTGTTTGAACATGCACATGTTATATATGACATACCTGTTAAAAGCATATATATATATATATACAAAATGTCAGCAAAATTGCAACCTTGGTGCTGTAATTAATTAGAACCAGGTTGTGTTCTTCGAGAAGGGTGGTCCTGATCAGAAGTGGGAGCAGGTCAACTACAAGGCCAATTCGGTTCTGATGAGCCTTCGGTCGAAGTATCGAGCCGAGCTGAAAGCTGGTTTGGCGTAAATCTTTGAGAAGCCAAGAGCCTCTTTTCCTGTGCTGGTGATTGCTTAGAACCAGATCTATAGGAGGCGAGGTCAGGATCCGTGTCGCACTCCCCGGAGTGTGTGTTATGTGAGCTGTGTGTCTATATATTGCGATTATGATCTAAATATGGTGGTTATCCCAATATTCGTTTCTATATACCAGAATATAGATCGAATTGTTTTCTGTTGTGCTTATTATCGGATCCTCTGGGGTGCCTCCTGGGTCTCAATGCAATTACAACCGGCCATGCGTAGCAATTGCAACCGGAATCGCACATACGCGTTTGTCAGGAGGTTTCCGCTCCGATTTTGTATGCGATTGCTTGGATTTTGAACATGAAAGATGATGGTGCAGTGGATGCTGCCATCTGTGTCAAGGTCACTTGAGCTACCTATAGAGAAGCTGTCACCACCCCGAGCGCTTGCAGAGAAAGACTGGTCTTATGCATGCATTATTGTCTTGAACATGGCCAAATCAAGCATTGAGTTCCCACCCAACGACACACATCAAGCTTGTCTCATGAACTATGCCTGTTGCTTGCAATATTATACTTAAGCTAGATTCAAGCCATGACTGAGGTGTCTGGTTTCATGCCATGCCCCGTGGTTGCAAGCGACTGCAGCCAAAGCTCGGTGCAACTGACATACTTGATCTTCTGCTTGCAGTTGAACTTGCAGATGCCTTGGACACACAAGCAGGCATGTGCATTTCTCCGATTTCAAGACTGCAGCAACTCTTATTTCTGGGGAGTTTCAGTCGGTTGCAAGAGTGACACACATTGAAGAGTTATGTTTGTATACATGCTCGTCATTAAATCTTTTCTATATGTGCTAGTACTTTGTAGTAGCTGCATACGTGAAGCATTGCCGGCAGCCATGTTGTATCGGCGGAACGCATGGAACCTCAGGGTGCTGGTTCGTAACCTGTATCGAGCAGGTGTCCCGCGAGCTTTTTGACTACAATATGATCACGATGCATCCTTATGCTTATGTCCACGAGGTCTTGATTAATTGCTCAAAGCTATTGTTCATATTATATGCAAGGTTGTGGTGCTTTGCTGCATCCTCCTCTACTTCATAGAAGATGTGAACATGAGTCGTGCTCTTTGGTCGCATATTCGTCTTCGTTATTGCTTTGTGTGCATGTGACAAGCAACCAATCTCGTTCCATATCTGCTCGAGGACTGGCGTGCTGTAGAGTTCTTTGCCGGGGCAGCAAACCTGACACAAAGCTTGAAGAAACTATCGTTTAGAGCGATCGGGCTGGATTTGGAATATGCACCTGGCCAAACCTATTATGATCTGCTGAAGCCTTCTGGTATGGCGCTCCTTGATCGCAAGCAAGCAGTGGTTGTACATGGTATTTCCACATCTGAAATGCTGTATGACATGACAAATGATGCTTGTTGTTCTTGTGTGGTTGAGGCTGGCCTTGCTAGCCGTCCTTCGTCTAGAAGCAGGAGGCCTCATCGTGATGGCCCCTGTCTGCTCCTCTTTTTCGGATATGTGTGTTTCGAAATCGGGCCGCTCCATACTGTGTCCTCTCGGAGATCAAAGTCTTGCCTGGGTTCAGTCGGGAAATATCTTGGCACACAGGCCGGGCTCACCCTAGCCCCACTTTGCCCAGCAGCACTCTACATGTTCTGCTTTCTTGATTAGTTTGCAAGCTTGTGTTGCACGGCATATAGTGTGTCGGAATGCAGGTGCATTCTGCTTTGCTATCTGGCCATGGCTTTGAACTTATGTTTTATTCTTGAGCAGCCTGGGAGTGCGAAGTTTGCCCTATTACCTCAGTGGCAGCATTTCTGTCAGCAAGTCGCATGGGTGGCTGGGCTGAGATGTACAAGGGTTGGTACATGTCCAAATAATACAATCCTCCAGCTTGTCACACATGAAATTCAGGTTTACCGGCAGACTGTGAACATGAGGGCCTTCGGTGCTCCAAGCATGAAGAAAACGTGTCTCTGGTCCAACAGCAGACTCCTTGGGGAACTCGGTTCGGATGTGGTGAGCCAGGCTCTTTGGTCTGCTATACTCCCGATGCATGTTGCTTTGTCTTTGCCAGTTCTTGTTGCTTTGTGGGCACACACACACACATATATATGTATATATATACACACCCATCGCTCCGAGGACATGAAAGCAAGTGCACAACCTCTTGTCCGACGCTACGTGGATTCCAAAGGAGTTACTCGTTACACTGGTGTGAAGCGAAAGCTGAAGAACAGCCAGCTGGGGCCTCAAAGCATACACGTGGCACACAAATTTGCGAAAGCTGTCATTGTCTGGTAGAGCTCCATCCTTCGATTATGTCTGCCCTTGTTGAAGGAAGTACACTCGAGCTTTTGGCTACCGAATCGGGGGCTTGTTGCCCAACATGTGCTCTTATATCACGGGACTTCGTTCGCCGAAGGAGCTGTCGGCTGCTATAGTTTACACATGCATGTGCTCGACCCAAAGTATCGCTTGTCGGGTGGATAGACTTGATGCTCCAGGAGCCAACAACTGGATCAGCCAGCCTCCTTTTGGCCGAGATGCTCAAAGACCAGCAGCTCTGGGAAGAAGCCGCAATGCCTGAAGTGATCACTTATCTTCGAGGTTGTAAATCCTTGAACATGCCGATCATTCTGAAAGATGCTCTCGGCTTGTGATCCTGTCCTGCATGACAATGCAGCAATTCAGCTTGTCTGCTCTTGATAATTCAAAATTAGCTACAGCACCTTGTCTGGCTGCAGAAACAAATGAGCATCTTGTGTGGGTTCCATGCACAACAGCCAGCTTGACTTGTGTGACTTGTGCATGTCCATGATATATATATATATATATATCAGCCACACCTACAGCAGCTTTCCAAGCAAGCATACAATAAAGACATTACAGCAAAATGGTTGGAATTAGTTGGAAAATGATGTTTTCGATACCAACACACCAAAAAAACCAAAAAACTTGGCCAAACCCCCGCGCAAGACCGCGCAAGAATGCGCAAGAAAACCAGTTCTCTGCGCAAGAAAACCAGTTCTTGGCGCAATCTCGCGCAATCTTGAAATTCTTGGAAAAACGCTATCATTTTAGTTAAAATTTTCTGGGTCATCACAAACCGTATTGGAAAACCAAAAAAAACATAAACAAACAAAAAAAACAATAACAAACCAAACGCAAATAGTTGGAAAACCTAAAAAATAATATCTTCCATATACAAAGCCAATTGGAAAACCAGAAAAAAAAGGTTTTCCAACCAACGTTGCCAAGTAGCTCCAAAACCCTTGGAAACCATACGGGAAGGCCTAAAACGAGCAGATAACGCTTATTTTGATGGTTTCGGCCATTTTAAATGAATCCCAGAAATCTTGTTGGAAAACCAATCCTCTAGGAAGGACGTTTACGCAGCCAGCCTTTCCTGCAAAGCAAAGCACACAATACATGAGCCAGCCTGTTGCTTTGTCGTTGCCAGGTACAGATGAGGACGCCTTGGCCAAACGTCGCCGACTAGCAGGTGCCGCCCTCCCCACTGCCCTCTGCATGTGCAATTGCATGGTCCTGCNNNNTGTTGTTGTTGTTGTTGTTGTCACAACATGTTTGCAACATGCACGCACATGGCCTATGCTTTGTAGATGTTGTGCATGCTTGTTTGCAAGACAATCCTATAGAGTGGCATTTTGCCTCAAGCGATGTTTGCTGGGCCTTCCAGGCTTTGGTCCTGTGGCTCTTTGATCAAAGGCCAAGGTGCCCTAGAAGGGCAACAGCAGCCCTCGCATCCTGTGCCGAGCATGGAGGCAACTCTACAGAACTAATTCATGATCATGTTGTTGAGCTCATCTCTGCATGTCTTGACCAATGCTGAAGATTATCTGAAGCAGCAATCAAGGTCAAGACGGAGTCGAACCTGGAGGACGGCGAGTTCTCCCCGAAGACCGTGGCCATGATCGCCTCACTGGACGATTCGGAAGAATCTCGGAAGCTGGTTGAGGATCTGAAGAACACCAGCTGCTTGTTTGCATTAGTTGCTTTGTTGTGCACAAGCTTACATGAAGTTCTGTTTGCTGGCACAAGCTTACATGAAGTTCTGTTTTGCTGGCACATGGGTGCATGCATGTTGTGACTCTTTCTTTGTAAACAACACCCAGGGAAGCAGCACAAACCTGGGACAGAGACCGTGAAAAGCGAGCCGGCCACGCCGGTTCCCTTGAGGCCCCGGGAGCCGAACCATCCCCCGCCGGGCTGGATCCCCCAGCCGAAAACGCCTCCCGCAACCGCGCCCACGGCGACGAAAGCCCCAGCACCGCCTCCACCCCCGCCCGCTGTTGCCCCAAGGCCCGCCCCACCTCAGCAGACCGTTGAGCCCGTTGCAGCATGCCCGGACATGACACCGCAGCAGGTGGACGACTTGTTGACACAGCAGGGTTGGCTTGCACAAGAAGCACGTGGCACCGCCGCAGCGGAAGCAGCAGCAGCAACAGCAAGCCCGACAGCATGGTTGCAGAGACAGCAGCAGCTGATGAAAGAGCAGCAAACTGCTTTTCTGATTCAGCAGGAGCAGCAGAGGATGACTTTCATGCTGCAACAGCAGAAAAACTTCGAGATGCAGACGAATGCTGTTATGACCCAAGTAGGCCAGCAGCAGCCACTTCAGGAGGCCGTGACCGCCTCGGCCGCAAGCTTGCATGGAATGATGGCTGCAGGGCCTGTGAGGGATGCGATGCTTGTGCAGCAGCAGCAGGCAGAGGCTTTTGAAGCACAGCAAGAGCAGCAGAGGCTGGAGGAGGAGAAGAGAGCAGAGGCAGCAGAGGAGCTCCGACTCGAGCAGGAGCGAAGGTTCCTCCAGGAACAGGAGGAGCTGCTGGCAGCTCAGGAGGAAGCAGACCGCTTCGAGCGGGAGAATGCTTTGGAGAACCAGCGGCTGGCAGCTGAGCTCTACAAGGTGGAGAAGCAGGCCGAGGCACTACGGATGGCGATGATCAACAGAAGCTCAGGGAGCAAAGCCAGTGCCAGAGCCCCGGCCCCTGTGACACGCCCTTTCCTCATCCCTCCCAACTGGCCCAAAGACGTTCCCCTGCCACC